CCATGAAATCCCACCAATAAAAAGCTTCCCCCGATCGGAATCCATGTGGGTTTTCACTGCCTCTCCTTCTCACTGCGTGTGAGAGTGAAAGCCTCGATCTTTATTTAATTTTGGAAGTGGGTTTTGGATTTTGGGGGTTTGGGATTTGGGAGAAGAAGGAAGGAAGGGTTTGTGGTCGACTAGAGAGAGGAGAGACAGATTGGGGGGGCGAGTGTGTATGTGATGTATGCTTCGAGATTGGGGGGAAGTTTGGGACTTGGGGAACGGAAGTACGCTTTTGGACGGATGAGATTTGCTGGATTGGTTGGTCGGGAATCATTTTGATGTTTTGTACGGCTTGGATTTGATGTAAGTAGAAATCCACCAGAGGGTTGGCTCTCTGTCACGTGAGGTGCACAGAGAGGACATATGGTCTCCTTCTTTTACTTTGTTGAGCTAAAAACGTCCCCAAAAGACAATACTTCCTCATGAGCAAATACTCATTGGTTACAGACAAGGAAGAAAATATCGGTAATATCAGAAATATCAGTAGTTCGAAAACACGGAAATATCGATGGAAATATCGGGATAATATCGATATCGATAAAAATTACATGGAAACCACGGAAATTGTAAGAAAAACTTGGAAATTTTTATTGAAACTTTGCAGGATGTTTATTTAGTCAATTATCTATTAGTTTATCATAAAAAATTGGAAGGAAATGCATTGCATGATGGATTTAACATTATCAAGTTGATTATATAGCGAGCTGGCAAATATTGTGAGTGTAGAAAATATGTAGTAATTAATGAAAAAAGTTTAAACACACCATAATCATTTATATATAATGAATTAGTACAATATTTTACACTTTATACATTGTACCATTCTTAAAAGATGTAAAAGTTGAATTATTTACCATGCTTTTCTTTTCTCACACCGTCACACACCACCTACATCACACGCCACCGACACACACACACGCACACACAGGGATCACACACGCCACCACACACGCACACCACACACGCACACACGACTTGTCTCTGGATCCTTCTCTCTTCTCCCTCTCCCTTCTACCACAAACACACACACAGATCGACAGATCTCTCGAATTCTCGATCCTTCTCTCTTATCCCTTATCCCATACACACGCACAGAGACCTTTCTCGATCCTTCTTCCACATGGCATTCTCCTCCTCCCTCGCCTTCCTCCTCGTCCGCGTATTCCGCCTCGTCGGCGAACCCAGGAACTCTGAGTTCTCTTGATCCTTCTCCGCCTTTCTCACCAATCCCACCGATAACAACCCCACCTCTGTCGTTGACTCCAGCGACGACCACCACGACCCCCAATCACCCCCAAACCCCAACCTCAACCTCCACAACAACCACCCATTCTCCTCCTCCCCCCGGAGACTGCCCCGCCGGCGCCGGCGCCGCGCTTGCCTCCGTCTTTGTTCCACGTCTGCTTCAACCCAAGACCACGTCTGCTTCGCCGTGGGGACAGACCACGAGTTGTGGATCTACAACTGCGAGCTCGATCCGTTCTGAAGTTGTGGATCTACGCCTGCTTCAACCCAAGAGTTGCTTCAATCCGTTCTGCGAGCTCTTTCGCCGCGACTTCGACAACGGCGGGGGAATAGGCGTCGTTGAGGCACAGATCTTGGGTTTGAGCATGGATTGCAGAGAGATCTGGGCAGCTGGGGGGGACGACGCAGCCTCGGCTGCCTTTCCGACGACGGATCCACGACGACTTTTTCGATAATATCGAAAATATCGCGATATTATCAATAATATCGCGATATTTTGACGATAATGAGACGGATATGTGGGAAAATATCGGAGCCTCTGAAAAACGATAATATCGGCGAAATATCGTCGATATTATCGATATTTAATACCATGGTTACAGATAACTGCAGTTATCCATCTACTTAAATTTTACGATAACGGTTATGGATAATTATTATGTTCCCTATTAGAAAAAATTTAAATCAATGTTATTGACTATAGTGCATGGTTTCTGTATATAATATAGACTCAGCATAGTTTGAGAATATATCTTCTCACTGCAAGTGTCTGGATATATGCTAGTGCAGTGCAATTTGAAAATTTTAATTTGGAGAAAAGATGAACTTGTTCTTGCTTTTCATCTTCTCTCTCATCAACTCCTTTGGATTATCATGTAAGCAACAAGCTATCTCTTCCGCTCTCACTCTAAGTTTTTTGTTTAATTCTGCTGTTCAAATTTTAGTGACAATTAATATATGATGCAGATGGGTATGATCCATTAGGTCCATATGCCAACATAACAGCCAGATGAGATTTTCTACAGCAAAGTGGAATATATTATATTTGTGTTGAAAAAACATGTAAACTCATCGATTGTCAAATGATAAATTTTTCTTTTTTAATTTTCAAGTTGTTAAAAAAAACATGTAGACGGGTAAAAAAAGGTAAATGGTAAAAAAGAAAGGATAAACGGGTCAAAAATGGTAAATGGGTAAACAGGTACTAAACGGTTACAGTTAAATGGGTACGTGGTTATGAGTATGGTTAACCGTTTATAAATGATTATGATTATGGGTATGGGTATAACCGTTTAGGCAAATACCCAACAGGTAAACAGTTATGCGGGTATGATCATAAACGGTTATGGATAAATAACCACGGTTACCCAACCGCCATTCCTAGTAAAGTAGTAAGCAGGAAAGTCTGTCATACAATGTGAATGTGGCATCATTTCAATGTAAAAACGTTATAATCATTTGACTTTGAAGATGGACCAATTTTATATGAATAAAGAATTTGGCGTTTCATTATGACGATATTACTTGTTATTATAACGTTGATTTGTTCAATATAAGTGAATGACTAAGCAGTCTTTAAATTGAGTGATTTTTCTAAAGATGAACTTTAAGTGATGATAAAGAGACTTAACAATTTTAGTTGTGGCTTTTATACCGATAAAATGATGTTCTGTTAGAGAAGAAGTATCCTCCTCAAAATATAGTTCATGCACCAAAATTAGTTTAGTCTTTTCCTGTATAATGGTTTGAGCTATGACATGACTAATAAATTAAAATGAATTTTATGTTTTGTTTTGTGGACCTGTAACGATGGTCGTCAATTTGTGATCGATTGGTCGATTCAGGTAGAAAATCTAAAAACGGCTCATAAATGTTGTTAAACAATGAATGTAATTCCTCAATTCTTCAAGACTCTGATTTTGCCCATGGATAAAAAATCATATTCATGGTTACATACATCCTTTACGTAGGCATATCATAGCAACGGTACCCCGTTTGATCAAGAACATATTCTATAAAGACAAACTTCGTGGCACAGGGGTCTAATTTACTCCGTTGGTGCTTTGTAAACGTGTGCAAAGTCACACCCTCAAACACTCAGGCCGTGTTTACATAACCGGAATGGAATACGAAGAAACGGATTTGCACCTTTTTCGAGGCATTCACCCGTTTACCAAACATTTCAGTAATCGGAAACAAGGTGGGGCTCACACAAAATCAGGAATTGAACTCCTGAATCTCCCGGAATTGGATCCCCTCCATAGAGGTGGTATTTGGATTCCGTGGAGAAGCCTCTATCAGGAATTCGACTTTTCTACCCAAACTAACCCTGTCCTTATGCCTTTCAGCAGAGGCCGACTCCTGCTCAATCCTGTCCACCGGCGATGACGGGGCTCAAGCTGACTGGTTCAGGATGGGTTTCGAAGATGTAACTGGTGAAGAACAGGTTGTCATTGGCGACAATTGGGGAAGGAAGGAGGTTCGCTCCGACATCGAGCGCCAACCCAACCCGTCATGCTCGCCATCTTTTGGGGGATGGTAAGAAGATTATCAGGGAGCAAGGATGACGGGGAAGAAGATGGAGAAAGGAAAATAAAAAAAAAATAATTGGGGATGAGAAGGAAGGAGGTTCTGGAAGAAATAGAGAGAAGAAATGAAAAAAGAATTTGGCATGATAAAGAAAGAGTATGAAAATAATTTATTTATGTAAGGGTAATATAGTAATAAACTTAGTTTTCATTCCGATTGAAGTGAATTAGTAAACAACTTATATGGACTCAACATCATTCCTACTCCGATTCCAAACAGTTTTAGTAAACAACTTCAACAAGAATCTGATTCTGATTCCACCTCATTTCAATTCCTCTTCAATCCAATTCCTTCTCAATTCAATTCCTCTCAATTTGATTACGGATTAGTAAACGCGCTATCAAGGTTGAAAATTAAGATGTCGTGCAACTTCTAAGTGTTGATGGAGAGTCTAATAGAAGCTAGATGCAAAAGACACGGATTTTCCAACAACATCGATATCACACTCTAAAAAAAAATTATTATTAAAGGAAGGGAAAAAGATTTGAAACTATTACAATAATTTAAAGGAAAAAAATGTTCAATCTGGGACATATCCATTAGAATATTGGACCACATGTAAAACTATCATTGATGCCACTCTTAAACCAGCTTAATTTAAGGTATTTACATGATGTCAATATCTTGTGACATAATTAAATTTCACATTTTAGCTTTTCTATTTTATCTCCACCAGCCTTGAAAGCTTGAACGATTGGTTTGTCACTATTCACACCACCCACTAAAGGGGTGAAGGAATAATTTGTCATGGATCACATGATTTCGTTGATAAAAAATCAATAATCCAAATACTATTATGTAGTGGTATAGATGAGCAATCTGAGGAAAGAAAAAAACATGTTTAGATATCAAGTAGATTTACATTTTTCGATTGTGTCGAGTAAAAGCACAAAAGACCAACGGATAACTTGTTCAAACTACCAAAAAAAGAACGTGACTCCTCCCATAAACTCCCATGAAACAAAAAGGCACACAATTAAATAAGGTATGTGCTGTTGTCTCTGCTTCCTTCCTTTCGTAAACTCGTGCACCCACCACGTCCCTTTTCATCATAATTCCACTCTCTCCCAACGTTACTATTTTGAAAAACCCTTTGGAGCCAAACGGATTTAAAAACTTCCTGTTCACCGTCACCTCCTAACCCCCTTTTCCTTCTATCTGTCTGCCTATATCAAACTTCACTCCTCCTGCTGCTACCTAGGGACTTCTAATGGGGTGTTTTCTTGCCTGTTCGGTTTTTCTAAGAAGAGAAAGCGGCGAAACCCCGCTACAAAAGCCCCCTCTGGTGACCATGTACATTTCTTTATCTTCAAGCTCAATCCATGCTTTCAAGTTTCAGTATTTTGTTTTTGGGCGTGCTTGTATTGGTGTCACAGTATTTAACCCAAATTCGGGATGTTTGATTTTTGATTTTATGATGTTGTTGTAGAGACGTGTGAGTTATGTACCATTGGATTCATCTGTCAGAATTATTGGTGTTGATGGTGGAGGAGAGAGTCTCAAATCTGAACTATACAGGTCAGTTCTTGCTTTTAGTCTCCTACTTTGTATTGAGATTTGATCTGTGGAATGGTTATTTACCGGCATTCGCTTTCATTGAATATTTGTTGTTTTAGAGATAAGGCCAAGGAGCAGAAGAGGTTGAAAACCCGAAAGAAAGTTAGCTTCAATCTGAATGTCCAGACGTATGAGCCTATTTCGACCGCTTACCATTTCTTGGACAGCTATGAGGAGGAGGAAATCGGAGAAAAGAATGTCAAAGAAATGTCGAAGGGAAGACTTTCCACTTCAGCGTCTGAAAGGGATTCAACAACACTGAGGGTAGGACTATTTCCTTCAAGCTACAGGTACCAAAATGTTCGGGACAGCTATGAAGAAGAGGAAAGTGAGTTGCATGACAATGATATCGACGTTGTTTATGAGGATGACTACTATGATGACGATGAAGACAGTGAGATTGATGAACAACAAATAAGCCGAGAAGGGTTTTCGGAGGAACTATGTTCTGCATCGCGAAATGGAGAATCTGAATATCCAGATGCTAGAGATAATATCCGGTATTTAATTTCTGTACTGAGTCCAGTAGAGAATCTCACACAGTGGAAAGCAGCCAAAGCAGCAGCACCAAAGCACCAAAAGGAGAATACTGCATTGTTTCAACAACCACGGATGCCTTATAGCACCAGATCAAATTTTAACCAGCCCACCAAACCTCTCCTGCAAGAAGTCCCAGTTCATGCCAGTCTTTCGAGTTGGTTAAATTCGCAAAGTACTAATTAGTCCGTGGAGACCGAATTGAATCTAGATCATCAAACAGTTGCTACAACTGGGACAATCTCATCCAGCAAATTAGTACACTGGACAGATTAAATTTCAGTCATGGCCAAAAAGATAATTTTGATACAAAAAGTGTGAATTTTTGGGGGATTGGTTGGATATGTGTGTGTATTTGTTTCTGAGTGTCTTGAATCTCTGGTAAAAGAGGAAGTCTGATAGATTTGTGCTTGTATTGGGGGCCTCGGTTGTTTGTGTAAGAAATTTACTGTAATTCTGGTAAAAAAATTGATGTGATTCCATATTAAAGAAGAACCGGCTTTGCCTCAAAAGATGTGTTGGCTATTTTGGTCTTAGATGTCCTCGATTCGAGGGCAGAGCTTAGTAAAGTATGTGCGAGTTTAATGCCACGATACTAAACAAAACTTAAAATAAGCAAAATCGACTCTTGAAAGAACAAGAATAATGTCAAACAATATATACAAGGGCAGTTGAAATTACATCTAAAAAATCCACCACTACAGCTGTTTTCAACATTTTATCGGGGTTTCCAGGAACGAATGCATACAATCAAACAGGAAGACAAACATATTTACACTGTAGGATGGATGATATCTTTTCTCCCTTCTGTCAAGTGCTGAAGGAATAGAGAAGAAAAGGAATAAGCAGAATTGAAGCGCGTTTATTGAACAGGATATGGTTATCAAAGTATGCTGTAATTCTAATTACATACAAAGTACAACTTATGCATATGGTAAAACATAAAAAATCTCGACTGTGTTTGATATATTACATAATGTGGAAGCCAAATTGCCGTTATCTGTATCTGCTCTCATCCCCGGAAGATGGTCCACTAAGTTTGCGTCTGGTTATAGCGGCAGTCACAGAAACTTAACGCAAAAAATGGTACTATACAGTCTATACTTAGATGCAAGACATGGGAGACTGGCTGTCTTGCCTTTGTCTCAGGACCTTGGGTCCATCCTTGACACAGTGAGTTATAACAGAGCCAGTAAAAATCATAAAAATCAGCTCGGAGAAATTTCATACTTGATTTACCCAGCAATCGTATCCAGGTAAATGGTGTACTGAACGATATCTACATAATAATACATATGCAAGAATCTGCATCTTCATCATCAGAATCACTAACATCGCTGCAGATGAACAATGAGACAGGGTTAGAGACTAGCAAATCAGCAATAAATAGAACAGTGACATAATACTGGGGAAATTAACATCGCAAAATGTTACTCTATTTGTAATTTTGTTTTCCAATTTTAACGGGATTACAAGTAGATAAGTACGTGATGGGAGACTACTTCAATCTATGGAAATGCAACAAAGTAGACTGAATATCTTGAAACTGTTATGGAATTTAATAAAAGAAGTGCTAAACCAACAATTCTTCGTCCTGAATTGCTTTTCCAATTCCTTGCGTGCGCACGTGTGCACACCGACAAGCATACACACACTAACATATGACGCACATGAGAAGTTACTTCCTGTATACAGTAAACCACAGAGTGCATTTATGTTTAAGCAGACAATTGTGTGCTCAATCGAGGGATATTTCAGCATATGGCAGACATGAAGGACCCCTTGTCCATAACAGACCGACATGAAGGTGACCATTCTCTCCGCATTTTCATAAAAAGCAAAAAATCAAAATGCCTCCAATATAGTAAATCTAACTTAACAAACCAAGAAATCAAAATGCCACCGATTAACTTTCCCATTATTACAGACGCAAAACTTTGCTCTAGAATCATGGGCCACAAAAAGTTGTTAAAGTTGACCCATATCATCAGGATACAGCCCATGCAAACTTGGCATAGGCATCCTATGTTTGGCCCATTCAACTTCTTCTCCAAAGTAATTGCACACACACACACACATGCGCACACAGACAAAGGAAAACAATTCATCAAATTCCTTTACTTGTTCTATATTAACTTACGTTCCCACAAGAACAAACAAAGAAAAACAATTCAACAAATTCCTTTACTTGTTTTATATTAACTTACATTCCCACAAGAAATCTAATGACTTCTATATAGCAGAGAGAACGTCACAGCAGGTGCCTTACATTCCTAAGGTAAAATTTTCAAAGAGATGAAAAGGAGGTCTACTTACCTAAACAAGTGGTGATTAAATGAATTGACCTAAGGGCGAGCAATAGAGAAAGACAGGCCAAAAGAAAGAGACAGATAGAGAACAAGACAAAACTTGAAACCAGTTGGCTTAGGTAGAAAAGGAAAAGGCATGATATGTCCATGAGAAGTCTGATGGGGAGAACTTCGGCACTGATAGCTATCTTTTACGCCAACATAGTAATCCTGCACTCTTTACTCCTTTGTTTTTTTTTTCTTCCCAATTATGGAGAAGTGCAAGATGACTATTGTAGAGTGCCAAATACAACTCTCCTCCCGGCAGAAAAGGAGACTGTCAGAAATTATGACTTGACCAAGATGCATATCACGCCACATGATGGAGCCCTTCTCAAAACTTATAGACTGAAAGGAAAACACTTCAATATTCAACTAACCAAACCTAAATGAAACATATAATAAAAACAACTTGTCCACCACAGTAAAATGGGACCTGAAGCTATCAACTCTTATAGTGTTATTAACAATCCACTGCTTCAAAATCAAATAGGTTTCCAAGAGTATTAACTGTTGATAATCACTGCAACAACAATTCGTGACCAATAATCAATCAAGTAATTAGCTAAACTCCAATGGGATTAAGGTCTCCCATTAGAAGCTAAAGTAAGTTGACCCCTGTAATTAGATATGTTGGATAGAGCAGGAAAGTGGACATTTAACTAACAGATGGATGGAGATGGTGAATTATAGAGTTAACTGCGGCCTAAATAACACCCTAAATCAAAGTCAATACAAAGAGCATAACAGCACCAAGAAATTAAAAGACAAAGATATTGGCCAACGGTTGATAAAAATTCGAACAGCCACATCACAACAGGAACAACAACAACGAAAATAACAACGAAAACTAAACAAAGCAATAAAAAAATCTCACACTTGATCAAAGCAATGCACATGTAAAGAGATAGAATTCAGCAAACGCATTACCTCGGTTCGAATTCCAGGACCTCAACAAGCTTATTCCCATTCCTATCATTCCACTGCACTTTTCGCCGAGTTTTATTCGATTTCCTCGACATACCCCCTCTCCGAGGAGGCAACAAAGAATTAGACTCACTATCTTCATCTCCATTAACATTTTCCTCAACTTTCTGAGAGTCTCCGGTATCCAACGTCACCTCAGTTTTACACCCATTAGTAGTACAAGCATCCTTAGCATCCGTATCCATCAACAAATTCACAGCCCGACCCAACAAAATCGCACCTCCAAATAATCCAAATTCAACAAGAAACCTTCCAATCTCTGAAATTTATTAAATACCCAATTGACCCAAATCCCTGATTTGGACAAATTCGCAAACCCTAACCCCTGAAGTTCAAATCTTGCGGGTCGTGGCGGATGTGAATCGCCATTTCCGCGAAAAGTCAACGCCCATCCTCGACGCAGGGCTTCGAACAGCAATGGGATGAAATGGAAAACACGACGAAACCGAAACAGAGAAAAAAGGAAAACCTGACAATTATTAATCTGGGAAAATATAATCACTGGGAAAATCCTGACATTTCCCGAGAAACTGACGGAAAACGTACAGTTTCTTTTGCTTATTAGATCCTATTGCAGGAATAGGAAAACGTGATCCAATATTCTGAACCGATTTGGGTGCGAATGCAACTCAAGAATAATGGGAGTTCGATTTTGTTTTAATTTTTGTTTTTTTATTTATTTATGGTTCAGATTGGAGACACGAATTCCATACACATTTTATAATGTTCATTTCGTAATGTATATCAACCATTTAACTATTTGTCTTTTAGGTTTTTTTTTTTCAAGATTCAAATCCTTATTCGTTTATTTTCTTTATTCTAAATAAATGCCTTAATGATTTTAAATTTCTTTATTTAAAATAAAAGTATGAATGTTGAATTAAAATAAAGACAATTTGGATCATTGAAAACGTTACTGAAGATAAAATGGATTTAGGATTTTGAATATGTTTCGACTTATTTCTTTCTCAATGGGAGCACAATATTTATATACAATATTTGTTGTAGGCCTATTTAACTGAGCTATTATAAGGGAATAGGTCGGCGGTAACAAGAGAGAAAATAGAGAGATTTAATTAAGGTGTGTGTTCACACCATTGTGCTTTTATTTATAGTAGTATGATAGGTTAAATCCTTTTCCTTTTATGATTACAACTCTAGTATTAATTATTAAAGGGAATATTCAAAGATATCCCTAGATACACTAGGATTTACACAATCACATTCCTATTCTAAATATGATTGCAACACTCCCCCTTGAGTGTGTAAATACTCAAACAAAATATCGCATCAGATCTTTAGCAGATAAAGTATAACATTTAATGACGTCGGCGGTATAATGGGCGAATGAGAGTTTCAAATTTAAAGAAAGTATGCATTGGTAGTAAAACTCACAAACCTCACTATGGTAAAACCCAAGATGGGAGAAAAACCCATAGGCTAAGGAGAAAAGTGAGAAGTATGCATAATGTCCAAACGAAAGTAGTGAACTCAACGGAGTATGATCATCCTAGGATGGGTGCCTCATCAAAACCTCGTTAGGTACCAAAAACCCAATGGGAAAAATGCTTCTAATTGTAGGAAAAAGAGTACTGTAGACATCGAAATTTTGGTAAATAAATGTTGACCGATAAATCAAAGTTTCAACGCTCATATATTACATAAATTTTACACGTAGCATATGACTCGACGAAAAATTGAAATGAGTCGGAAAAGTCATCAAACAGGACACGTGTCAACACATGGCAGAAACGACTTATTTCATCTGGAATATTATATTCAAAATTAGGCCTTGGAAAATTCTATAAATAGAAGCCAATTTCATTTCATTTGGAGAGAGGAATTCATATTACACCTTGAAGCTCTGAAGCTCTGAAGCTCTGAAACTCCGAAGCTCTCAAGCATCCAGATTCCCGAAGAATCAAGAAAGCCTTCTTCGTTCTTCGTTCATCGTTCTTCCAAGATCAAGCCCCGACGGCCCCTTGGATCAACAATCCACCGATTCAAGATCAAGCCCCGACGGCCCTTGAAGAAAGTGTTCTTCGTTCTTCGTTCTTCCAAGATCAAGCCCCAACGGCCAACGGCTCCTTGAAGATCCGCTCAAATCCATCTTCAAGATCAAGTCCACGGCCCTTGAAGAACGTTCATCCTTAGATCAAGCCCAACGGCCCTTTGGA